AAGACTAAAAAGCATTATAGAGCCCAGCCTCCTTTCTTAGCTGAAAAGTCAGTCTTCATATGCTATCTGATACTTTGTTCACAGGCACCTGCTGGCATGATAAATAGTCACAGTTATAGTTCCAGAGCATACTTCTTCGACAATCCAAGACGATATGATAGTGATGATGACTTGCCAAGACTGGGAAGTTCAAGAGAAGGAAGGTAGATGTACTGAATTAGTACTGAAATAGATCGAAAAGAACAAATCTAAGCTTTAACCCAGTATGCAAAGGGTGGTTTGCTGATATCTGTCAATAAATAAGATCGTTTAATATTGGAGCTTAGAACAGTAGATATTAAACCCATAATGGGACCTGTACTGTAAACAATTATCATCTGATTCTAAGCCCATATATTCCCTTTATTTGAGAAATGCCTTTGGGCGTAAAGTGTTGCCATTTAATATTAGGATGCCTTGTTAGTTCAAAGCCGAAGCGAGCTGGTGAACAGGGAAGAAATACTATTATGGTGATGTTATATGTTTCTCTATCTGTTGTGCTGTTCAGAAGCCACAGAGAAGTCCTAGATAAAACTCTTGAGATGCTTAGGTGCTATAGGACATCTTCTTGTGCCCTCCTTGTACAAAATCATTGCAAGTCCGTACCATTAACTGTGTGTCTGTGCAAAGAGAAAAGCTGAATGCACACCTACCTAATGCTTTGAGTTTGATACAGCATTTTCTATAATCCTCACTTCATCTGTACAAGTTACATAAGCTCAGTTTTTTACTCTGTTTTCCATCTGTAAAACAGGGTTGATAATAGAACCTATCTGATAGGATTGTTGTGACGATTAATTGAGTGTATGTGTGTGTAAATATAATTATACGTATATACATATACACACACAAAACATGTCTTAGATACATAATAAGCACTATAGTGTTGTTGTTATTCTTATTATCTGATAATCAAGTTCTACTAGTTCTGAGTGGTATGTATTCTTTTCTAATATGTGATACAGAATCAAGGATATTAGATAAAAGTCATTGAATTTTGTAGAAAGCCATTATTTATTTGGCAAAAAACATATTTCAGTACATTTGGTACTCAACTGTATTCTAAAATTCATTGAAAACTATAAATGCCAACATGACTTGCCATATCCTAACCACATTCCTATGGCTTTTTTGCTCCTTTTTGTTGCAGTTTATCAAATTCACAAGGTTTGGGCTGGTATGGCACCATGACTGGGTGCAGCAGCAGTTACACAGTCTCTCCCCACCTGAATGGACCTATGACAGACACTGCTCCTTTGCTCTTTACTTGTAGTAATTTAGATATGAACAATCACCATAGCTTATATGTAACACCGCAAAACTGACAGCATTACCAAGTCGTGATTCTTCAGTCATTTTTCATGCATATGTATATTCAGTGTGTTAAAATTCCATCTGCATAAACATTCCATTAATCTGTTGCAACTGAAAACAAAGCCTGGAAATGTGGCTGTGTCCAGTGGGGAACACAGCTGTTACTTTTGACCTCGTCCTAGTGAAACGGAGTACAGCGGAAAGTTTGGAGGGGGAGAAACGAGGGATTAGATCTTAAGGCACTTGGTGGCTTCCAAACATCATGACTTTGGAACATCAAATGCATATTTGCATATTTGCACTTTTATCCTTGTTCTGAAAGAGTACACTGCAGTCCCCAAAGTCCTACCCCAGTGTTCTCACTGGGATATTATGTTGTACACCAAATTAGGAGGCAGTTTCCCTACAAAAATCAAAGCCTGTATATTCAGCAGTATACTCCACATGGAATTCTTACTCAATAAAGTTTATAGTGTGAACAGTGCACAGAATGAAGGCATAAAAATTCTTTCTTTTGAAAGATCTACTAAGAATATGTAATCATTGAAGATAGTTCTTTTAAACATGATCGTAAAGTACCAACTGAAATTATTCAAACCATCATTTTAAACAAATGATAGTAATAATCCTTTACAGTGATGACCAGCAGTGTTCTTTGGAAAGCCACAGTCATTTCTTGAAGAGGAAAGTATACCAGTAAAAATTATGTGGCTACTTTGAGTAGAATTGGTCAAGTGATTATTTTGTCTGATTAAGATGTATGCAGTAGTTTAAGCATGAGTCTTCAAAAAAGCAATAGTAATTTTTGCATAGGGAGATTTTGGTAGAAACTTCTTGGGACTAAATCAGTTTACAGATGTACTTAAGGAATATTCACAAAATGTACAATTCTAAGTCGAAAGATGAATACATTTTTCAAAAGCATTCAACTTAGCTGAAGCAAAATATAGCTGATCTTACCTGTTCCTAACTGAATCAGGATTGTCCTCAGGTAAATTAAATCGTGATACATTATTGCCGTGAACTCAAGTGCAATACTTTGTAAGACATTTAATTCCTCTTTTAGTTTTCACATTTTTATATCTTGTATATGGGCAAAGCCAAATTAAATTCAAATGAATTCCAGCACTAGACTAAATGAACAACTTATGTAAGGGTACTAACTAGGTAAGTATAACACCAGTGGTTAACAATATTGAAATACTTTTAGAATTACATTAAAACTGTCCTGAATGTCCTATCTCAAATCTAAAGAAAATATATGGTAGGCTAAGGTAATAGAGAATTTTAAAATGCACTTTCTACCAGTGTCTATAAGGAAGTAGATGCTGAATACCTCAAGATGCCAAGGTAACGGGCAATGTTGAGAAGTTGTCACAACATGCTTAAGGACGACTAACCATATATACAATTGTTTGCTGATCTATTTCTTAAGAACTTGAACTAACACAACTATCCTCTTCTGTCTTTGATTAGAAAATTATGTTTTCTACTCTTACATAAAGTACCTTTCAACTTTTCAATTAATTGATTCTGCAACTTCGTAAAGTATAACAGTAAGTGAAACCCCAAGAAAGAAATAAAATTTTTAATGCTTTTAATCTTTCAGGAGGCTGGTACACAGCCAAAGAAATTTTGTCTTTTTATCATACAAAATGATTTTAAATTCAATCAAAAGCATAAACTTATGTTACTTTGGGTTTATTTCCACGAAATTCTCTCATTGTAAGCAAATTATTTTAAAGTTTATGGTGTGGAAGTTAACCTTGGTAGTAACAGAACAACATAACATGCACTTACCTGAGTATAGTTTGCAACTTCAGTTACTGGATTTCTTTTCAGAATGCCAACTATTTATTTTCTTAATTATGCTAGGTATTATCTAGAGCTATCTGAAAAGATCTCTGTTGTCTTTATTAATCCTTGGGATTCAAAGTGATAAAGTAAATTTTTTTTCTAGTAAATCTTTCTGAGACTTCTGTAGATAATGTTCCTATTTCACCAGATAAACAAAGATTACTTTTAAAAACATATTTCAGATAAAGTAACTTGGTTCTTTTAGCTGCATTAGTTGATTCTTCCAAATCTGAGATTTGTACATTTCTTATCCTGACCAGGGTACCTGAATTCTTGCATTTATCTCTGTATACACATCTCCCACAGTACATCACCAAAGACAAAGAAAGATAAGCTTCTGACCCAGTTTTTGCTTAAAAATTCCAAAGCACTAGGAGCACTTTAAGTCTGGTCTTGAAAGAAGGAGTTGTTTATAAAATCAAAGGGCTACGCATTCCCTATTCATCCTGCACTGAAGCACATGATGACAATTTCAAACCTTCCTTTTTGGTTCATTAACTAGAAGAGAGACTTTCATTGCTTAAGTGTGTAATTCTACAGTGATTAGCAGTACTTGTTTTTATCGTTTCATTTGGGTGGTCATTAATTTTGAAACTCTTACCACTCATTATAGCTGGTAGTAGTTTTATGAAAGATGTAATTTATAGCTAAAGTGGCTTTTTTATGCATAGCTGCCTTTTTTATTGTTTAACAGTGTTTCTCAGCTATATAATCAGTTTCAAACTGGTTGTAAAAGTATAGCTGTGGCCAATGAATGTATTTATTTGTTGTTTCACTAAATTGTAACAAAACACTACTGTTAAAAATAAAAGTGTTTGTGCTTTTAGTTGGAGGTCTGGCTTTCTTAATCTCTCATAATGGACTATACCAACTGAGTTTCTATCATGTGAGGATAAGAACCCTAGTGCTTCCATAGAAAAGAGGAAAATATTTGGAGTTACAAATGATAGTTTGCTTTTAGTGAGCTTATAACTACAGATCTTCCTCAGCTTGTAAGTGAAAATGCATCGAATACACCTAGCCTACTGAACACCATAGCTTAGCCTAGCCCACTTTAAACTTACTCACAACACTTACATTAAACTACAGTTGGGCAAAACCATCTAACACAAAGCCTATTTTATAATAAAGTGTTGACTATCTCATGCAATTTACAGAATTAAAGATCCACCACTGCCCAAAATCACAAGAGAGGACCATACTGCATATCTAAGCCCAGGGAGAGAAATCAAAAATTCAAAAGTGGAAGTACAGCTTCTACTGAATGCGTTTCACTTTTGCACTTTGTAAAGTTGAAAAATCTAAAGTTGAACTATTGTAAGTGGAGAACTGTATGTACATAACATGTAGAGGTCCCTTAGTATTACACACTAATTTCGTATGAAATGCCATACAGTTTAAAATATCAATATGTTATTAGATAGTACATGTTTATTCAAACATTAAGCAAAGAAAAAATCCTTGTATAAAATAACTCTTAACACCTCTCTCCCTCCCCTTAGAACTTTAAACAGGAATAAATTTATCTAGCCCATAATCCTGGGCAGCTATTCTTTGACTATTCATGAAATTCTTTAGTGATTTTGCCTTTTCCCCTGAAAGAAGAGTTCTTACTATTTTTTCCCTAATAGACCCCTTTCACGATCCACCAAAACCACACCAAATTCTGAATACAATTTTGGAAGTTTTATTGACCCCCTAAAGTCCACAGTCTACTGACTCTTACTGTAAAGATTATTTGGAGTGAAGATATGACCATTAATATAATAAAGTTGTCACTTCAAAAGCAATTTATTCAACCAACATTTATTAAGTTTCATATGCCAAAAACTATGCTATGGAGATGCAAAATGGATATAGTTCCTTTTCCTGCCCTTAAGGAGCTCACATTCTAGTAAAGGAGACTTTAAAAAATAAACACAATACAGTACAATAAATGACACACTAGAGGTAGGTTGTAATTACAGTGGTGACACAAAAGAGGAAGTCAGGTGATCCTCCTTGGATGCAGCAAGGGAGATGTCACAGAGGTGATGCTTTATGCTGGGCCTGCAAGATACTTAGAAATTTTCCAGATGGCAAGGGCACTTGATAGAAAGGGAACAGCAGGCACCAAGGTGTGGAGGCCTGACTATAGTGCATCTGAAGAACTGGAAGTCTGTTTTAACAGAACATGGGGTGGCAGGGGTGGGGAGCAGGAAGACATGTATCAGAGAACCCTGTGCACCAAGCAAAGGTGTTTAGCTTTCTCCTGAAGGTTCGTGAAGTTATTAAAGTGTGTTAAGCAGGAAGTAATGTTGTTAGAGTCCTTCTAGAAAGTCCACTTTGTAGAATTGTGGAGCAAAAGATAGGAGACAAGCTGGATAAAGGAGAAAGGTTCATGCTTTAGGGAAGAGCAATGAAAATGGAATGACAGTGATATGTCAGAGATATGGAGATAAAATCCATAGAGATTAGACATTGGCTGAATAGGAGACAAAGGGAGGAGAAGAGTGAGCCTAGAGAATTTAGATAATGATGGTTCTGAAATTAACCAGAGGAAGGAACATTGGCATAAGAGTAGGTCTGGAGGAGAATGATTTTTTAAACACACACAGGTGTCTGTGGGACAACCAAGTGAAGATATGTAGTAGGCAGATGGACTGAGAAGTCTGGGCTAAAGATAAAGATTTAGACATTGAATTGGAAGTACTCAAAAGTGAGAAGTGGTGATGAAGAGAGCAGGAATGAAAGCCTGAGGAATAACTTAAAGAATAAGTGAAAAGAGGCACCCAGGAGTATGTGAAATAGAAGGAAGCCAATGGAAATAAGACTTTTAAAGAAGAGGCTGTCGGCAGTGTCAAATGCAGAGAAAAGGTCAAGTCAGAAATGGCTTGTGAACTTAAAGGTGGATTTAGAATCTGAATATAGTTTTAGACTTCAAAGGACAAGACTGTTAAGAACTACGGAGCCAAAAGCCCAATTTCAGTTACGGAGCAAGCCAGGGATGACAAAGTAAAGATAAGAATAGCCTTTTTAAAAGATTGGATGTTAAAAAAAGAAAAAAGGGCAGGGGCATAAGATGAGAGTTAGAGAGGTGTACAGGCAAAATAACCACTTAAATCCATCTATCGTATTTTCAGATACTACAAACCCTTTTATATATGGTGCTCGCTTCAGAGTACTTTGATTCTCCAAGAATATTGACTAATAGTAGGTTTTTGTCTTTCTTTTCCTGCCCTATTCAAATGAGGGGGAAAAGGAAAACAGGATATATATTGTTAAATTTAGATCTGTGACTATTTAAATATACTGAATACATTTGCATACATTTATTCCACGAACATTTACTGGACACCTACTATGTGCTTGACACTACCAGGCCTTAGGGATATAGAGAAGAAAAAGTATACAGTAGTGTAAAGTGGCATTTCTAAACCATTATATAAATAAGCCTTGCTTTATTAGTAATGTTACATTGCAACATGGTATACCTGCTAAGACATACAGAGAGGGCCCAGGATTTTGAGGTATACAGTTTCTTTTTTCCCTTCAATTACCATGTGATAGAAATTCCTATACCCCTTCAAATATTTTTATCATTGAAGATCCTCCCCTTATGAAAACCTCTGAAAATTACAGTTTAGTTTTTGGGAGAAAAACAAATGAATGTCATGTACAAAAACCAAATCACCATATGCCCTATGACTATACAGATTAAGCATTAAAAGGGTAACAAGACTCAAAAAGAACTTTAAGTTGGAACTCAAAATGATTCCTCATTCTAAGGCTTATAGTAGTATATAGTTTGATTTTTTTTCTGAAAAAAATCATTTAAAATAAATGATTTAGTATTACACACTGAAGTGTTTAGGGTTCAAAGGGCATGATGCCTGTAACTGACTTCCGAATGATTGAGGAAAAGACAGTATAGGTGTGTATATATACAGACAGACCATGAGAGACTAAGCAAATAGGAACAATTTGTGGAGCTGGTAAAAGAGTTCTTTGTACTATCCTGGAAACATCTCTGTCAGTTTGAAATTATATAAAAATAAAAAGTTTCCCCAAAATTTTATTCAGAATTAGGGAAAGTATTATGAGAATAAATATATAAATGTATTCAACTTTTCACACTGTTTAGAAATCCCTTACACCTTTGAGTTATCATTTTATCTTTCTATACACCAAAATAAGCCAGTCAAAATACCGATATAATTCTAAAAGTGATCTGTTTCATAACAATGTTTTATACGGTTGCCAGAGAAAACACAGGACTCCCAGCTAAATTTGAATTTTAAATAAGGAATAGTTTTTTGACATATAGTTGTCTGAAATATTGCATGCAACATACTTATATTAAAATACTATTTGTTGTTTATCTGAAATTCAAATTTAACTGGGCATTCTGTATTTTTATTTACTAAATCTGGTAACACTAAATGTATTGAAACATTTAGGCTGCTAATAATAGGCCATTCATGAGCTTCCTTAGCATTTTCCTATTGAACACTTGTCACATTGGCCATAGTTTTATTATATTACATCTTACACAAAATTATGGTTTGAGAGACTTAAAACATTTACTTAGGTTTACCATATATGAATTTGATAATCCTGATTTTACTTAATATTAAACTTTAAAATTTGTACCACATTATCAAAGTATTAATTTTATTCACAATAATATTATCCATAGACTTAACAAAATTAAAAAAAATTGTTTACTTAAAACAAAGTAATTCCCTTTTACAAAAGCAGCTTCGTATAAAATGTTTGGCTTGAGACTCATGCTATTATGCCTTTGAATGAAATTCCATTCTTGGGCCTCCACTGTCCAGAAACAGGCACATTTCAACTGGTTTTCCTTAATGAATATTTTGTAACAAGTTCCTGAAGTTTTCTAATTCTTTCACACTTGTAGAAATTCTGTAACCAAAAAAAATTTCACTCAAAAACTATTTTAGATAACTTGTCTCGTAAGTTATTCACTTTGCATTTTCACAACACATAAAAATGTTTAAGTAATTTATTTCAGCAAATTTAATGGTGCATAAAGCAACTTAATCTATTTTGATGTTCTTTAGTCCTTAATTTGACATGTTAAAACTAAGGTAATATTGCCCAGAAATTACTTTTAAGTATTCATAACTTAGTATTAAAGTTTCAAAATGCAAAATTATGAAGTACATCAGCATTAAAATCCTTAGATATCTTAAGTATTCATAAGTATATTCATATGCTTACTATTTAAAGTACACAGGTATAAAGCACATAATAAAATATGTATTTTAAATATGCATATGTATATGAACACTTAAACTGATCGATATGCCATATTTAGTAAATATACAAAGAATCAAAGCCTTTGGACTCTTATAAAGAGTGAGAATAGTAAATATATGACCAAATTGTTTTCACTAACTTAGTTATTTATAACTTAGTTATTATAAATAACTTTGTTATTTTAAGTGTTCTTAAGCTCTGCTCTCTACCATGAAAGAAGTAGCAAACTATTCAATGAAGTATAACTGTCAAGCTCTGTGTGCTAGAGAATAATTTTGAAGGACGATTATTCCAAACCCAAAATATTAAATCATAATTTTTTAAAGTGAAGAAATGTAGTCCTCAGAAATATGTTAGTTTTTATAAATCTTGCATTCTTTATATGTGACAGGCCAGAAGGAAATGCATCTATACTCAAATTTTGTAATGTAACTTCCATATTTCAAACTTATATTCTAATCACTTTGAAGAAAATTATTTTTAAAAGAACTATTAACCTTTTCACACAATGGTGAATTCACAAAGAAATTTTACATGTACACCTATATTACACAACATGATTTTTCCAGGACCTTCAAAATACCTTTTGAAGAGCACAAAAAAACTATTTTTAAATAATTAGAAAAATATACACAAATTCAGTAGGAAGAATATTGAAATCCACTGAGTGAATTAATCATGATTATAAAAGAATAGATTAAAATAAAGAATATCATCTAATGATTTTCTAAGATCACAGAATTCTGTAGTGAAATAATTTCACTGAAAAGGATATTTCTTACCCAGTTTTATCTGAGAGTAAATGCGTTGCATTAGACTTACTTGGCTAGCAGAAACAATTTTGGTACAAAACTAACCTTCCAAATGCATTAAATAATGATACTATTTCTTGTCTGGTTAGATGGAATTCATAACTGGGTCCACTTTCTGGCATATTTGCTATCAGTTTCTCAGAAAATAAGATCTTCAGAGCAGTGCCCAAACCCTGAGTCTATAATAGAAATAAGGGAAAAAAACAAAAAGAAAAATCAGAAAATTCTTTGTGCAAAGAATGGAAACAGGACTGAGCTAGATCTGCTTACCTGAAGCTTTCCCCATAGTCGACATTTAAGACAACCAACACAATCCATGATTCTTGAAATATTTCTAAAATGCAGTCGAAAGTCCTCCTAAAAATAATTTAAAATTTTACTAAAATGTAGTATATAGTTAAATCCTAAGTATTTCTGAGTGCCTTCTACATCCCTCATGCTGTGCAAGGTGCCGTAGGGCACCAGAGAGGGGACGAGAACTGAAATCATCATCCACTGAGCACCTCCTACACACCAGAATCTCTACATCCACAATTTCATTTCATCTTCATCACAAAGCCAAAAAGATATTATTATAATCTACACAGAATGATTTTTTTTTTAAGCTCAGAGAGGTTAGGTAACAGGCCTAAATTCCCATAGCTAGTAAATGGTAAACCTAGACCCCAGGCCTGCCAGACTCCCTAACCAAACTAAACTATCTGTAAACATATACAATGGTAACCAAGTTGAGATGTTCTGTTGTATGTGATTATTAACCATATGTCAGTATCGGGGTGGGTGGGGCAGGGGCTGTATGACATCATTTACCAAAAAAGGAAGGAAGAAAGGAACAAATAAAGGAGGGAGGGAGGAATAAAAACCTTTGGTTTCATAATAGTTAAATTAAAGCCTTCTTTCTGATATTACTTAGGTAAAACAACCAGATATTTTATTATTATTATGAACATTATTATTATTATAATCACATAAAAATATACGGAATATAGTGAAATCCATGTACCCTCCCCACCAAACTTCAGAAAGAAACTGTTATAGCTGAAGTCCCCTATGTATCCCTTCAAAGTCCCGTATCCCACCCTCTGTAACTATTCTGAATTTGGTGTTTATCTTTCCCTTTTTATCTTTATGCTTTTAATACTTATGTACATATCCGTGAACACTAGGATATTATATTGTTTATAAAAGGGGAACATGTATCAAGCTCATCCAAAAGTAGTGTATGTCCTTAAGGAGTAAGGAAGGAAAAAGAGAGTCCAGAACACACCCTTCTTTTACTCCAGTGGAAATTATTAATTGATTGTCCAAGTGACTCCCTCTGTTCTGGATTTATAGTGCAATCCCAATCTTACAGTACTTGAAACAGGAAATTTGACATACATTTCAAATGGCCTATAATTTGGGAAACATATAACGTTTCTCTCTCTCTCTCTCTTTTTAATGTAATAAACTACACACTGGGCTCAATCAGAAGAGAACTAGACCAAAGATCTAAAAATGGGAATAAGTCAGCAAAGACTGGAACCCACTATTCAAAGCAGACCTCAATTCACTCTGGGGACAGCCTTTCCCCAGATACTTCATTTAGCCTGAGACTTCAAAACAGCTGTAATATGTAAAGAATTTATTATAGGATCCCAGATCTTATAATTTAATATAAAGCCTAAATTATTAATATTAAATGTTATCATATGTTGGCAGTATTCTATATTTTGACTTTCTGTATCTTTTGGACCGAGTTCGGTAAGAGGTAATTCTAATTTTAAACATACTTTTAAAAAATATTTACCCAGTAATATTATCTAAGTAGATTTTGGTGATTTGATTTGAGGGTTCCTTTAAACCAGTGTTTCAACCTTGAATTAAAGAAAATCTAACTTTTAACAATAATAATAAAGCCCTAAAATTACTCTAGAGTAGATATTCCCATTCTATGAGGTGCTGAACTTTGGAGGATTTAATACTTGTCACAAGAGCCTATATCACAAAATCCCTATGTATATAAGCATTTCTAACCATATATTGACAGAGTACAAAGGAGACAAAATGAGGTTTTAAAGTGAACTTATAAATGTAACTGTTCAAATCCATCATTTTTACCATAAACTACTATTTTTTTTAAAAATGTGATATTAATAAGTATTCTTGGTGTTTTACTCCTTTTCTTGTAAAAGGACTCAGAAAAATTATGTTAAACTTCATAGGTCATCAAAGCTGAGTGTTTCAGAGCTTTGATAAAATTTAAACGATGTGAGAAATATTTCTAATCTGCACAATGTAAAACGAGTGGATGCCAAAATGCTCTCCAATAAACCAGCAAGTATGCTAAAAATAAAAAAGATATCGAAAGTAGTAGGGGAAGAAGTCTTATTACAGCATCTTCCCCCTCACTCCCAAGTTCCTGGAAGCTTTTGGGGAGGTTACATAATCACTGAGGTATATATTTCTAGCAAGAATGCTTTAAGTAGGAGGTAGATGGGAGGTCAAAAATAACTATTATCCAACAGCAAAAAAAAAAGGAAAAAAAAGTGCAAAAGCATTTTGTTTGCAAGCTGCATAAAACCGGGTCCTTCCGTTATGGAAAGAAATGAATTAGAAACAAAGGAAGATTGTTTGTTATAAATATTCTGATGAAATCAGACCTGCTTTACTTACCTATAGCTTTATAACTGAAAACAGGAATATAATTTTACTTGAGTCCCCAGATAGACTAGAAATCCCTTGAGGATAGGAGCCATCCCTCCCTTCAATGACAAAAATTATGCTCTGCACACAGTGAGTGTTTAATAAACCTTCCCAGTGAAATTTTACACTTGAAGTGTTTTGAGGCAAGTATATACAAAGAGGGTCTTTGCCTGGGGTCAAACCTCTACCCAAAGGCAAGGCAAAGACCAGAGCCCATTTTGTGGGATCTCAGGTCCCTGTTCTTCCCACGACTGCCTCCTGGCATTCCTAAATACCTTTAATCCCCAGTGATTGAGATGAATGACAAAATAACACTGTGCCCTCTCCCTATAAAGAGCATCCTTTAATTTAATCAAAACTATCTTCAGAATTCTCTCCACTAAAAGACAGGCTAATACTGCTCCTCATGCTCCAGACCTCTTTCCTTTCATTCGTAAGTGCATCAACGTGAAAGACTTCTACAAAGAGCACAGTGACACAGACATTTCCGTTGTTATTTTGAAAATAACACAAACTAGATCTTAAGTTGGACCTGCCTTTGCGCTTCCTTTTTCTGAGGAAATGAAAGATTATGACTCTGACTTTTCTTATAATTTTAGGATGTATATCAAGATTTACTGTTATGAATAAAAACATGGGCTTATATTCATACCTGCATATGAGTTTGTATTTAAAAATTAAGTTAAAGTATAAAATAATTACCTTTAGTTTATTTGCTTCTTTTTTATCCCCAGCAAAAAATGAATTCTCATCAAAATGCAAAGGAAATGACCTGCATTAAATAAAACATAAATAAGACATATTCTCTGCATAATAAAGAATACTCATTTTCATGTATTATAAAATATTAAAAGTCCTGCTGATATATTTTGCTTGTCAGTGATGAAAAATATAATTAAAATAGAGTATAACACATAATAAAATCAATATTCTGACGTCCCCAAATGTAAGAGCTGACTGTATAATACAGTAGAAGTTTGGCCCCAAACCCAACCTGTTCAGCTAAATACGAAAATAAAGCAAATATCAAACACTAAAAGAATGGCTCTTAAAACTAAAACTATGTGCCTTTTAGTACATTGATCAAAACAAAAACAAAATCAAAACTCAATTCTAAAAGACCTATGAGCAAAATTAGCTTGTAATTATTTTTTAGGTAATTTTCCTTTCTCTGAGTTGAATATGTAAGAATTTGATTTTGGATACCACTTGTCACTCTTTTATATTGTATAAGTTGTAATATACAATTTACTTGATTTCATGAAGTATTTCCAGAAGTAACATTTTGTTTTCTGCATCTTGAGCTTTATTTCCAGTGAAGAGTTGAAAATCTGGACGCTCAAAGAACGGTACCACTTTAGATAAAGCCCTTAATTCTATTAGGTAGAGAAAATACAAGTTCTTAAGCCTTCTTGGACCTTCCCCTTTAGTCAAAATTCCATCAAATCGCTGCTGAAATTCTGTAATGTTGTGTCCCCATTTTTTTTCCAACCAGGTATCTGAGAAGAAAGAAAAATTAAATATTAAAAACTGAATTTTAAAATTAAGTAGCTTTCATTTGACTTATATTAGGTTATTTAGGCCTGCAGAAATTAACTTCATTTTATATTTTAAAATACATAATCAATACAACCATGAAAATGGTTTTTCATAGTTTAGCCCTTAATAGTTCTATGTTAACATTTTATCTTCTGGAACCCACCCTTCAAAGGAAAATAAACTCAATATTTTACTGAGAAATCAGGACTAATAAGATCAAATTTCTAAATATAAACATATTCATAAAACTGGGACACAGAATTAAAAAGTGACTATCTGAAATTACTAATGAGTTTGGAGCACTACTTAAAGTTACTATGATTTTGTGTCTAAGAAGAGATATTTTAATTCTAGAAGGAATATGTTACTGATGAAAATCCAACATCAACTCATTTTTCAAATCATTCGTAAAAACATACAGAGCAGCAGAAAAATGCTTTTACTCATTAAACTCCAAGCCTGAAGCTGGCACATGAATATAAGGATTCTGATACAGTAATGGCTAATGAAAAATGAACTGTGCTGTTAGGGCTATTTATTCCCACAACAAAGCAAAGAACATTTCCAAAGTGATGTGCACTATCTTGAGCAGCTTCTTAAAGGAAGGTGATGAGAGCTAAGAACATGTTGAACTTTTCCTTATAGTGGCCATCGTTTCTACATTCCTGATTACTACCACTTTAGAATAAGTTTTTACTGCCTAATATTCAGCAGGGTCAATCTTTTTCCATCCAGGTAAATACCAAGAAAATTTTGAGAGTACCTGAAAATAAACATGCTAAAACAAATAAAGTGAAAGTCACATACCTTGTAGAAGATACCGTGCACTCAAATGCACATTAATGCTTGCATGGAGGCCAGATATAAGTCTGTAGAACGCTCTTTTTTCTACACAAAGGCCTAAGAAGAGTAATTTGGAAATAGAAATGTCATATGTGAAACCTATAAAATACAAAATTAATTTCATGTGTCTTTAAAAGTGAAAAAAAAAGTTATTTAAATTTGTTTAAAAGTTTACAGTTACCTTCTAGCCAACTGTAAAAAGCGTTCTCTGAAATTAAAAGAAAAATAAGTCACGAGATTATAAAAATGACAAAATGTAAGTTTTCCAAAAATTTTAAAATATTTTAGCAAATTTGTGCCAGGGATTTAAAGTTCCAAATTTTGTATGCAATTTCTCCAAAGGAAGGGAAGAGGTTCTCGGTGTAGATTCAGTTAAGTTTCCCTCTTTAGAAGGCTTTAGCACTGCCTTAGCTCGCCCCAGCCTCATAACTTTCTAGATAAAGTGTTTTATATGAGGTCAAAACACAGAATTTAAACAGTAAATCAATGCATGGAAAAATACTTAACATTGATAATAATTCATGCTATAAAAATTAAGAATTCATTATATACTCTTCTATTTATTATCTTTTGTACTATTATATTATTATTAAGTATAGTTGATTTACAGTGTGTTAATTTCTGGTGTACAGCACAGTGATTCAGTTATATATACATATATTCCTTTTCATATTTTTTTCATTATGGGCTATTACAAGGTATTGAATATAGTTCCCTGTACTATACAGTAGGACCTTGCTGTTTATCTATTTTATATGTAATAGTATCTGCAAATCTCAAACTCCCAGTTTATCCCTCCACCTGCCCCCCTTTCCTCCCCTGGTAACCAAAAGTTTGTTTTCTATGTGTGTGTAAGTCTGTTTCTGTTTTGTAAACAAGTTCATTTGTATACTTTTTTAAATAGAAAAGTTAAATAAAAATTATAAAATAGTATTTGGAGGTACATTATTTATCCATAGCTGATAGTATTTTATGCCATTCAGTATTTCAAAAGAGCAATTCAAGGAACTGTTACAAAAACCAAATATCACTTATATTCTGTGACCTAATAAGGTCACTGTTGATATACTTAGACCTGATAATTCTGATTTTAGAATTATGCACTAAAAAATTAACTCAAAATAAGGGTGGAGGTAATTTGTAGAAAGATAATTATGTTATACATAGTTTCTAAAACCTGAAATAATCAAAATGTACAGCAAGGCCTAAGTTAACTTGATAGAATACTATATACTAGTTAACATGGTCGAATAATATAAATCTATTAAAATGACAAGAATGTGGAACATGACAACACATGAAAATGCTTATTTGAAATGATATATATAAAGACATAAGAAATAATTATTATAACTATGTGAAAATTCTATGTGTGCATTCACTAGAGGTGGCAAACATTGTACTATATAGTTCTTTTTACTAAAGTTGTTTATAGTAATGTTAATAATGAACCAAGCAAGCATAAAAGTAATGGAAGAAATAACACAGGGGAATAAATAATGAATTTATGTATTTATAGACTGCATAAAAACTTAAAACATCTGTGTGTCAGAAAACTTTATAAACAAAAGCAAAACGCAAAAAACAAACTACAATCTATGTTGCAAATACAACAAAGGGAATAATAAATATCCTACATGTATAAAAAGCTCACAAGCCAAATAAAAGTGCTAAAGTGCCCATTAAAAATGGGCAAATAATATGAATAGAGAACTCATAAAGGAAAAGTACAAATGGTAATAACAGATAAAAACTGTTCAGTCTCACTAATAATAAAAATGCAAATCAAGAGTATATTGTACAACACAGGGAAAATAGCTAATATTTTATAATGACTATAATGGAATATAAACTTCAAAATTGTGAATCACTATGTTGTATACCTGAAACTTCCATAGTATTGTACATCAACTATACCTCAATAAAAATAAATAAATATGCAAATTAAAACTATAAAGATATCACTTTAAATAGTAAGGCTAAAAATATAATACTTAATGCAGACAAGGGTTAGTTAGGTAAAACTAGCTGGCACAGTGATTGGAAGGGACGTAAATTAGCACATCCTTTCAATGACAGAAAGCAATCTGGTCATATGTATCAATAGCCTAAATATCCTTATCCATTGATCCAGCAAATCCATTTCTAGAAATCTAGGTTGTTATGGACGAATGTTTGTGTCCCCTCTAAAATTCATATGTTGAAGCTCTAACATAAATGTCTTTGGTTTTAGGCACCCAATCTATGGTGTTTTGTTACAGCAACCTGAGCTCTTGAGAACATAGGCTAAGGAAACAAGTAGACATGGTAATAACATATAAAACTATAAATACATCTACTGTAAAAATAGACACAGGTTAATAATAATAATTTTCAAAATATCAGCAGAGAAGCAGTATGAGATAGTAACTAAAAGCATGGACCCTGGAACCAAACTGCCTGATTTGAATTCTAACTCTGCTACTTACAAGTCATATGATTTTAGCTGACTTGCTAAACTGTTCTAGGACTCATTTTCCTCATCTCTAAGATGGAAATAAAAAGAACACCTCCTAGGATTGTTGGAAGGATTAAATGAAGTCATATTTGTAAAGTGCTCAGAAAAGTACTGACATGTCTTAACCATTATCATTATCAGTTATTTTGGGGTTGTGGGAATACAAGTGATTTGTTTCCTTATTGAAAACCTCTAGGTTTTTTTTTTCTTTTCAAGTTTTGGACCATGAATTGGTGGGGGGAGCAGGAGTGTGACACTGCTTGGGACCTAGCCTTCCAAAGAAATTTTCAGTTCAGTTTTATAATCCTGGAGTAGGTATTCTCAGCGTGACCTGAATGTGATCCAATTAGATAATCACCTAATATGTCAGCTTTCACATTTGCATGCTTATAAATATACCATAAATAAGACGTTTTCTCTAAGGATAACCTCCACAGGTTAACGATCTTTTCTCTGATAATGAGAGACAGATTGAGATCTTCAAATAGCATTAAAAAATTGAAATAGCTTCCTCTAATATAGCTAGAACATAGCATAGAACTAGAACACCCAAGATAGAATACATTTACTCAAAACTGAAAATTACAGGATCACCACTAACAGTAACAAAATATGGACCATCTTTGGAGAAATAATCATACAACTAAGAGTTTCTCTGCCAAATAGTATAGTTCTGATTCAGTATTGTATTTATCTGCTTCCATTACAATAATATAAAATACAAAAGTAAAATTGTAATGTTTCAGACTTTAGTATTCTGTTATTTAGACATAATGCAAAAGCAATTCATAAAAATGACATTCAGAAGACATAGGATTTTAAGGGAGAGAAAAATGATACTTTGCATTTTATAGCAATTTCATCTAGCTGGATTAGAGTTAAGCACTGCTTAGTTTTTTTCATCCTGCTAAACATATGGCCTTAAGAATACCAAAAATCATTTCAATCTCACTCATAAAGCAAAAAGATTTCAAAAAGACAAAGTAAACCTAAAATACATTAAAAAATGTTTAGCATTACACTTAACTTAAAGAGCTGGCAATGATACCTACACCCAAGGGTCAGCACAAGCCTTGGAAACCAGTAGATCAATACTCAATATCTTCCTATATGAGACCCAGCAGATCCTAGAGTTCAACCAGTAAAGGAGATGTTTTCCCTGACAGAGGTGGGAGAAATCCCTAGCTTTCATATGCAGTAGGTAAAATGTATAAGTGAATTATCGTAGGTTGAGGCAGGCTGTCTCTACTGCCTGATCCCAGGCACAAAGAGTCATTTTTCTGTTAACCTATGCTGTCACCTCTGGAATTTTAGATACAGAAATAAAAATTAACTTTTCGTAGTCTCATATATAGACTGAAAAAAAAAAGCTTGACAAACATCTGAATGTATTAGCAAATTTATGTATGTAGTGTATGATAAGAAAATTACACTTACCTTCACTTTTCCCTGAAAAACAAAATGAAAAGTTTATTAGTAAAAACTCCTTCCAGATGCCTCCTTTAAAATGCTACAGTCCCATAAAAATAAGACATTTAATAGAGGTTACTTTTAGTCCATCTGCTCATCCACGTAAATAAAATCTGAGAGTGAGATGCTCTGACTGCAACTCTTTCTGGTGGTGATAGAAATGATGCCTGATTTGACTAAATGGCCATCTCCAAGAGGCCTGGATAAAGAGTAGTTTCAGTTTGTACAAGATTTAATACGGGCTGACAGGAAAGAAAAATCTAATCCATCATCTGAGAGTACTCTTAAACATATTAAGGACTCACAGTCATTTGGCTGGCAGAGCATTTTTCCTTATTTATTTATCCTAAAGCTGTAACACAGTTTATGCTAAAGATCTGTGTTATTGCTCTGAAATGTCCAGACTGACATGAAATTCTACCTTATTCAGGAATATTTTTAAAGACTCTTGGTAAGATTCAAATTATGCACAATTCAGCAGTTTGTATGCAGTTGCTCCTTAACTACTGAAAAACTGTCTTCATTTTGTCACTTTTATTTAATGTCATCGTTTGATTATTAAAGTAACACATGCCCACTGCAAATACATTTTTAAGAAAGAAAACACAGACAAAATAAAAAATATCACCCATAACTCCCTCTGCCCAAAGATAAATATCATTTACATTTTGGTAAATGGCCTTTTTCTTTGTGTATAGGATATTTAGATATATTAATTATGTTTTTATAAACATGTATTTGTATGTATATTATGCATACTGTTTAATACCTGCTGCTTCTCCTAAATGTGCTACTGATCCTACTGATCACTACTGATATAAATGAACACAAATTTTTAGCAACATTTACAATAGCTGTATTCTACTAGGTGAATATACTATAATTCATTTAACTATCTCCTTAATGATACACATTTAAATTGTTCCCATTTATCTCTGAAATAAGTGAGGGTGGTTAATTAACTTGTCAGATCATAATGTAAGTTCATAGTGAAGATCACCTCTTGCCTAGGAATTTGCATTTCACCTGGTATTAAATCAGTAGCTTGCACTGAGTTACCATATGTGACTGCACATAATCCTCGTTTACAGATGCTCTTTCATTTCTAATCTAAGAATGACTAGGCTGCCAACACTTAGGGAATGATGCAATCTCACTGCTTTCCAGGAAGAAATTTATGTTTATTGACTATATGAGATCAGCAGCTTTTCAGATAAATTTAAAAAATGAAAACCTTCCACATTTGCTAAAAGTGAAATAAAAAATCTCATCAGTAAGCATGGATTCAGAGAACAGGGATATACAGTTCCTAAGGAAAAGGCCTGAAATCATACACTTGAAATGGTTTATTCAGCAAACCATTCTTCCTGCCTGTTACAGACTGGGCAGAGTTTGTGAGTTTCAACTTTACATCCCCTCTGCACCTCATATAGTGCGTAGTACATAGTAAATGGTGGATAATCATTTGTTGAAGGAACAGGTGATTTTCATTGCTGTAGACAAGACCGTTGAATGAGGAGGGCAATTTTCACTGATCATTTATTTATCTAGCAGACTATTCCATCTACTATGTTTCAGACTCTGTATTAGGAGATGAAACCAATAAATGTGGCCCATATGTCCGAAGTACTAGGGTAGATCAATAGATATATAAATAATAGTAAAATAATGCTAGACAGTAGAAGGGGCTGTAAGAGAAACAAAACATTACATAAGATCACTTTATGAGGAGAGAGATTACTTCCAGTTAGGAGGATCAGGGAAATTTGGGGGAAAAGGCAGGATGTAAGCCAGACCCTCAGTGTAAGTAGAACATGAAAAATGTTAATGAGATATGAAGTCATGTGAATTTGAAATCAGAATCCCAATATATGCAATAATTTCAAGTTTGGGGAAAGATTTGAGGCAGAAGTCTTTGAGATATTCATTTAACTAAAATGTGAGTAAAAATAGTAGAAAAACTGAACACACATATTCTGCAAAAATGCACAAAAGAATAAATATATACCTTGATCTTGATCCTAAGATAGTCTAATACCATGAACTTCATTACAAAAATTCTCGTTACCGAAGTTTTTTAAACACCAATTTCTCTGTAAGAGTGAAGCATAACTTCTATGGAAACAGAAATATATGATCTCAAATGCACCTGCCAACCCTTATTTTGCCTTCTCCTTCCTTCTAACTGAAGTCTACTGGTTGATAAGTAACAGTGCAAATCAATAACTCACCTTGACCAGAAGCCAAAGGATTTAAAGGTCTTTTAATTGTCTGTGGCCTGGAAACAAAAGAAGTAAAGTGTAAAATATAAATATGTTACTTATCATGTTATAATTATTTAAGTAAAAGTGAAATTATCTCAGAAAGCTTTTTAATGACTATCTCCAAAATCAAATTGTTTTACTGGCCTTTATTTTCTCTGGCTGCTTTAAGGAGGGTGGTTATTTGTTTTTGTGATAATACTTTCTGATCTTTCACACTGTAGCATCCAGAAAGTCATTTCCTAATCACTTCTTCAAATAAGGAAGAAAAAATACCAGTCAAGCTCTTGTCCTAGAGTTACTAATATGTTTTTATACATATTATACACATGTATGAGTCACAAAGTACACTCTTAATTGAAAGCCAAAAAAGCAAAAAATATAAATACCCAACACAAGCATTAAAATAAAAAAGAGAAAAAACAGTGTGGTTAGTTTATTTTCCACTTTGGTCATCTTAAGGACATCAATTTGCCCTGTGGCCATCACGTTTGTTATTTCACTAAAAGGAATTTTTTAATAAGGAAAAAAAGGGAGAGTCAATATATCAGTAAAGTGCTTTTAAATCACAAAATATTCATTAGTATCATTAGTAAAGTGTAGGGATAGTTTTAATGTCCTTCATATAAATTTTACAAATGTGCACAATTTGAGACATTTTGAAAACAGAACGTGTAAGCTATATTTTAACATACTCAATTTAGTGCCTCATACATTGTTTATATTTTAGAAATATTATGGAGATGATGTAAACTAGTGAGGAAATAACTATAAAACTAATACAAAATCTAACAAATGTTTAGTTGGACTCCATTTTGGTTCACATTAGAAAAAGTTAAAAAAAAAAACCTTTAAAGTAAGTCAATAAAGTCAGTAAACTAAACATTCTTAATAACAGTCAAGAGAATTTAAATGAAACACATGGCAGAAATGAGTAAATAGGGAAAACTCTCCACTTCCCAAACCGGAGAAATTCTGCAAGTCAAAAACAGAAACACTCTGACATTTTATTGGTACAAGCATAACTGCTGATCTCTTAACCTTATATTTGATGTAAAAAGTTAAATATATTTTAGCCATATTTGGGAACTCCAGAGACTTTCCCAGAATTCCTCCATCCCTGAGAGCGTAACACTGATGCACACACGTTCCTTCCAAAAGCCAGTAAGTACACTGTTTCCAGCCCAGAGACTTACAAGTGGGCAAACCTGAAGCATGTCTCAGGCTCCCAATGATCAAACTGACGCTTTCACTGTAGTGGGTTAGAGTACAGAGAGAGTTCTTCCACTGACGAGGTTTTTGACACTAGACATATCCCTTAACCTTTCCAAGTCTCAGTTTCTCCATCTATAAAGAGTGACGACTACAACACAGGGTTATTACAAGGACTAAAGAAGAAAATGTATGTAACATGCTTAGCACAACACCTGGTACACAGTGAGTGCTCGTGTTACCTCTTATAATTATTCTCTGAAATTAATTCAACTTTAAAGCAGGTAAAACAACTATCACCACAAAAAGAGGGCAGAACACCAAAAAAGAGAATTAGGAGGTATATATCCTCATCTATTCCCTGCCACTAACTATATGATCTTGGGAAATGAAGTAAATCTGACTCTACAAAACGAGATTCTATGATCCACTTAAGGAACATTTGGGAAATGCCTACAATACTCCCATGAAACTCTAATACTATTCTAAGTCTTTTAAAGAAGAAAGAAATACCTGTTGAAACTCACGTCCACATGTTTCCCCACAAGGGAACTGGATTAATGAATAAGTATATTTCTGTGTCCAGATACATCCTTTAGTGAATTTGATTTATACTTTTAAATCACCATGATTTTGTTTATTTGTTTACAAAGAGAAATTAGCACATCTTTCACACAATGAAAATTAGCACAATGTCTAAGTGAAATGAAAATGACACATACTTAAAACAGTTTTCTTCATAGATGACATTCCATATTTTCCAAGCATCTGGTCCCTTGTAACCCGTGTAGCGCTCCGGATTAAGGAGCAAATCTACATATTCAGCATCAGGAGACTGTATGTCTGGAAGATAAAATGTTTTATTAAATTTCTTTTGCTCAGTTACCTTAAAAAGCTAGTGTAAGAGATGGTATCCCATTGACTCTAAAGGCACTGCAAATGTAACAATGCATCTGGGATTTAAAAAGAACTTTTTAGGAGAAATATAAGAAGGGAAGAGAAGAATAAACAAACACGGCCACATGAAATTACACACTGGTTACAAAAGAATCCTGGTTTTAGAAATGGTAAAAAGAAAAAAAAAGGAATATAGAATTTTAGAATTGAAGGAACACAGTAATTCAATTCTTATAAGCTATTCAGACAAAGAATATACCATACATAGCCCATCACATTAACTGCCCGTAGTTTATCAGTAACTAAGGTAAATGAAGACATATTAGGACCACACAGTTTGTTACCAAATACTTCTTACATGACCACCATCAGGATCCACTACAAAGCTGTCCCTAAGGTATAACCCTAAATACGCAAAAAGTTTTAAGCAGGATATTTGTTTCAGTATGATTTATAAAGGGGAAAATCAGAAGTAACCTAAAAGTCCAACAGAACAGAACATGGGCTCTGGAGCCAAAGTGCCTGGGTTAGAATCCAGGCCCTGCTATGTATTCAGTTCTGGAACCCTGAGCATGTATGTAAATTTTCTATGCCTTGGTGCCCTCACTTGTAAGATGGGGATAATATTCATAGTGTTACCTTGAGACTTCAAGAAGTTTATATGTGCAGGGTGCTTAGAACAACAATAAGAGTCTAATAAATGTTAACTAGTGGTATTGGTATTATGATATATCTTAATAGATCATTTTGCAGTCAACAAAACTGTTCAGTACAAAGGCTACCTAATAAAACGAAAAGCTAAGCATTATAGAAAAGTCAATTACAGATATATATGTAAAACATAACACAACTGGTGGGATGTTAGTTTCTCATACGTTCTATAAATCGGTACAATGTATTGTAACTCCAAAACGAAACCAGAACAGTGGCCCCTAGTCCTTCAGTGGCTTTGGGGAATTAGTCAATAGCAATGTAATACCTTTACTCATCTATAAAGCTTACCAATAAGAACCAACAAAGAATGAGGAAGTGTGTGAAAATGGCCTCAAAGAAAAGTAGGTGACAAAAATCTGAACAGAACGGTGCTTCGAAGAGGGACCATCAAGCTCTCTATAGTACCTACTTCTTATTTGAAAAACAAAGATAAAACCAAGCTTGGTTATTTTTATCCCAACTCACAGTACATTAGAGTCATAAATTAGGGGAAATTTTGCTGCTAGAAACAGCGTAGTGACAGCATCCAGAAATAACTGAGCCTCCAATGCAGAAGGAGCAATTAAAATAACCAGAAGAAATAAAAATAACAACTTAAAAAACAAATCTTCATGGAGTCATCTAGTTTAGGAACAGATATTTCTGTTCATCTCAATTAATACTGAAGGTGTTGCCTCAGTATAGCAAATTATAATAAATTCATAAAAAGTAACTGTTACTTTAAAAATATATAAATAATGCTCAGAATCTACTACTTTAAGACAGAAAACTAGGGAGGGGGGTGTAGCTCAGTGGTAGAGAGCATGCCTAGCATGTACGAGGTCCTGGGTTCTATCCTCAGTACCTCCACTAAACAAACAAACAAACAAACAAATCAAATCAAATTACCTGTCCCCCCACCCCCAAAAAACAGAAAACTAACCACCAAGAAATGATTAAATTTTTAATATCCTGCCTAATTAGAGATTAGCATTAGCTGACTCATAATTTTACTTATGACAAATACTTCATCTCTCCCCAACTTTATTTTTTTTTAATGTTACTATAACCATATTTTGCCAGACAACAAAAGTTCAAATTTCTAATTAGGATTTACAAAATATCTTCTATCTTCTACCTACCTTTACACACATTATTTATTCCTTATACAGCTGTCCTTTTTATTTCTTTACATATTCACCCTATTCACCTTCCTTAAACATAAGAAATATAAATGGACAAGTTATTCACCCAAGATAACAGAATTCCACCATCTAAAGAGTGAATTCTTGATTCTTAGTCCTTGCTACACAAATGTAAGCATGTAGCCTTAAGAGGATACTTTGGTAATAGAAGTTAAAGTATTACCGGTCTTTCTGTAACATTGCAGGCCAACAAAGAAATATGCTGCATGTTGTAAGTTTATCTCACACAGCAATGTTTAGGACAAAGAATCCTTGCAGAAAAGATGGCAAAGTTAGGCTTGGGAGAACATTTTATCCCCCTTTCTTTACTGGCCTAAAGGTATATCCACAGCTCCTTACCCAACATCCCTGGGGCCAAATGGGTTTTGGAATTCAGAACTTTTCAGATATCAGAAAGGTTAATTCAGTACATGCAACATATCTTGAATATGAACTCCAGCAGGGACTGGGGCAGCAACCTCCAAACACAAATATTTCTGCAGTGAAACACATGAATATTCACACTGAATGAATCTGTGCTAAACTTCAGGGGGAAAATGTTCCTTTTTCATAGTTTTCAGATTTGGGAATTAGGAATAAAGGATTATAGATATGTATCTGCCAAAACATGGTCATGGTTTTTTATTAAGGAAAATATGTGGGGTTTATTTTTCCAAAATGAAGCCACAAATTAAAAATTAGTACTTTCTCTTTTTTCCTCCTTTTTTTTTTGAGGGAGGGATTGCATGATTCAACTTCTGCTTGTAATTAAAATGATCTGTATCATTCTTTTCACTGATTTTTTAAAAAGATCATTAATCTGTTCCAAAAGAGCCACTGGATACAAAAACACAATCTGATCTGATTTTGTGTAGCTAGTAAAAAAAGGGAGACACTAGAAAAAGGAAGACTAGGAGAATTCATAAATCTAAAGTAATAAATCCATGAATCAAATGGTTCTAATGGGTTCTAGGGCTCCTAGATTTTAATAGCACCCACACACTGGCTTAGTTTTAGATGACAAAGACATAATTCATGGTTTGTTGTTTACTTTTCCAAAAATGACATGGACTATGATTAAGGAAAATGTTTAACAATCCAAGGCCAATATAACAAAAGCAGGCTTTTGCAATCTCTTCCTTTTACCTATTTATGCAAAATAACTGTATATATTACAAAAATTATATCTATTACTAGGCACACAGAACTGCAAAATTCAGGAGGTGAATTCTTTCCACAAATTGAGTTTTCTTTTTATATTATTTTATCGTGGCAAAATACACACAACATGAAATTTACCATTTTAACCATGGTTCACGGTACCATTCAGTGGCATAATTACATTCACAATGTTGTGCAAGCATCAACACTGTTTCCAAACTTTTCTGTGACCTCAAACAGAAACTCTGTAACCATTAAGCAATAATTCCTCATTCTCCCCTCCTCCTAACTCCTGGTAACCTCAAATCTGCTCTCTGTCTCTATCAGTGTGCCTATTCTAGATATTTCCTATAGGTGGAATCATATGACATTTGTTCTTTTGTGTCTGGCTTATTGTATTTAGTGTAATGTTTTCAAGGTTTATCCATGTTGTGGCATGCATCAGAACCACATTTATTTTTATGGCTGAATAGTATTCCACTGTGTGTACACACCACACTTGGTTTATACACTCATCCATTCAACTGTTGATGGACACCTGGGTTGTTTCCACCATTTGGCTACTGTGAATGATGCTGCTGTGAACATGGGTGTACAGGTATCTGTTTCCCTGTTTTCAGTCTTTTTGGGTATATGCTTAGGAGCTGAACTGTTAAGTCATGCTAATTCTGTGTTTAGCTTTTTGAGGAAGTGCCAACTGTTAGAAACTGAAGGGTTTTTTTTAACTATTTTAAAAGAATTTTTTTTCCCTTAGGCACAATTTTAAACAACATGCATAGTATAAAAAATGTTATACCATCAACTTCACAGAAATTGTCTGAGGAATCATCATGCTTGGTCCACTGAAGAACAGCCTTCTGAGTTTCCTCACTTTAAACAAAGAAAGTAAAGAGAGTTATTTTTGTTCTTAAGGTTAACATTTCACATGAGAAAACATAAAATACTACTGTATATTAAATAAATAAATAAATAAATAAATAAATAAATAAATAAATAAATAAATAAATAAAAAATAAAATAAAATAAAATAAAATAAAATAAAATAAAATAAAATACTGCTTTAAAACACATCAGACCTCAGCGATTCATCCACAGCTCCAAGTCGTTCGGCTTGCTCACATTCTTCAAGGAGATTATTGGCTTCTTCAGAGTACTGAAACAAAAGGGAAATAAGTAGAAGTCAATGTATTGCATTTTTAAAAAATTTTAAAAAGAATTTCAAAGGAATTGGAGGTTCTTTTATACCTGGCCCTGTCACCTTGTCTTCAAAACTTAAAAAAAAAAAAAAAAGTCCCACATTCCTCCTGATACTAAAAAAAAAATAACTAAAAGGCTTTTTTGCCCCTTGTTTTGTTAGAGAACATAACTTACTATTATGTCCACAAAATAAAGAATAGGTTATAGTCTGATAACTCATTATCAAAATGTCCACGAAGAGAATCTTTGAGGTTGAGGAAGTCACTCGGCAAGGAGCCATGAAGCCACGTCCAACTTTTCTAATGACCTACTTGTGAGCATCAGTTTTCTCTTCCATAAAATAAGTGGATGGACCAGATCATGTGTGTCTACGATCCATTTCAACTCTAAATGCTATGATTCTAAAAATGCCCTGGAGCTTACCAAGTCTTATAAAAAGTACTCCAATATCTTTAGGTGCTTAAAATATATTCTTTAACAGCCGCAGTTCTTCCCAATGTCTAAGTCACTTTATATAAATATATACATATATATTTCTGCAATTTATAATATTATAAAACGCAGTATATATGTGTGCATATAAATATATTCTGCTAGCCGTGTACATGGCACAGGAAGTGTGTGCGGATCATGAGATTTCACAACACACCAGTCATCACTACCACACAGCTGAAAGATGCTATTGGAAGCAGAAGGCCACAAATTCAACCACCCACCAAATATTGGGGGGTAAGGTGTAGCTCAAGTGGTAGAGCGCATGCTTAGCATGCACGTGGTTCTGGGTTCAATCCCCAGTACCTCCTCTAAAAATAAAGAAATAATTAAACCTAATTATCTCCCCCCACAAAAAAAAAAACAACTTAGAAAAAAAAAACCAACAAAGAACAAAAAACAAATATTAACTGAGTGCCTATTATGTTAGGATGACCATATGTATGATTGTCCAGACTAGGACACTTTTGAGGATAAGAAGGAACGCTAAAATAACTGAAATAATATACTTTTTTGAAATATTTATTTACTGTATTACCACTTTGTTTCATTATATTAGTCAACCTAAAGACAGTTTAATTCAAAAGGTATTTTCAAAAATAAAATTCTTTTATATATAATTAAGTATTAATGGCTACAAGGATATGATATATTTAACCTACTTTCAAGTGGTTCAGAAAATAATAAGAATATGTATATGGAAAAGAACTGCCAAAACAAATGAGGCAAAATATCAGAAATGAGTCAATCTGTATAAAGAGTGTACAGAATGTCTTTATACTAATCTTGCAACTTTTCTATACGTTAGAAATTATTTCAAAATAAAAAGCTAAAAATATATATCAAAAAATCAACAAAATTTGTTCAAAAGATAACAGGTATTTTAATATGCCTATGTATATTAAAACGAAAATTTTAAATTTTATTGTTATAAAATTTTTTAAAGCAGTAAGTGGTAATAAGTCATTGACTTACACTATGCAATAAAGGATTGAAAAAAAAAGAGACTACACTCTCTATGCAGGAATGTTCATCTTCTGTTTCTCCTAAGCTTGACCTCTAATTTCTCGGTTTCTCACTGACCAATCAAATGGCAGCCTGGCAGCTTAAGATACGTCACAGGTACGACACAGGCCACAGTACAAATGGCTGCTAACTCCACCAGACCAGCAGCATGGCCGTGTCCAGTGCTTCTCCCCCTACCTCCCAAGACTGTAAGGAGTTAGCTGTCCCCAGCCATTTGTGACTGATGGCAGCTACTTTATCAGCAGTCATCTAATGTACTGTATTTGAAAGAGAGGCTTAGTTTCTGTACATCTAGAAAGGATCAGGAACTAATGTGTAACACGGTGACTATAGTTGATAACACTATTACTGTATCACTGATATTTGCTGAGAGTAGAACTTAAATGTTCTCACCAAAAAAAAAAAAAAAAGAGAGAGACAGAGATAAACATGTAAGCTATGTAAGATAATGGTAGATGGGAAATGATTTATATCAGATTGGCTTTAAAATAATTGGGAGACTGGAGTGGAAGGTGCAGATGAAACAAGGTGGATCATATATTGGTAAGTGCTGAAGCTGGGTGATGGGTACATGGTTCTTTTTCCCCTCTACTTTTATTTATATTTCATGCTTTCTATAATAAAAGGTTAAAAAAAAAGAGAAAAGAATTAGAGCCACTGAATACAAATAACTTTCAAGGGGTTTCACTGCAAAGGAGAACAGAGAGGCGGGGGAGTAGCTGGCAGGGGAAACGAGATCTTTTGAGTTTCTGTTAAATATTAGACACAAATAAGTATATGTACATACCTTGTAGCTCGCAGATTTAATTCCAACAGGAACTTCATCCTGAAAAAAGTGTTTAAATGCATTTAGAGGACATTTATTTTATCTTCTGAAAAAATATTTTAAATTTCTATGATTACGAGAAAAATTCACAGAACAAATTATTGAAATTAACAGGTTATATTTTAAGTGAGAATAGTTAGGCAGTTTTTATATTATTTATTAAAGGTAAACAAAAAATTCAACAACTTAATGCTATGGGTTGCATACATTATATTATAGCATGGAAATGTAAAAATAGTCACTTAACCATTTAACTTATTAATTTAATTTTTTATCTTAATTTTAATGCTCAAATTGTCCCACATTTGGCCCCTAGGAGATCCACTAAGAGGTGACTTGATATTTGCACCAGTGTCTTTTTTGATAGTACCTCAGTAGTCTTCAGCAGCATTTTTTGTTTTCTGTTATGACAAGATATTCTGGGTTCATCTTATATATTTCTTGTTCCAGTCTTGGAACCAACCATTTTTTAAGGAGCACTAGTTCTTTTCGAAGGAAAATGGTACTGGTTTTTAGTTGTGCGTCAGTCACTTAATAACAAAGGACCTACCTGCCTATCCTCAAAGTGATGCTGTTGAGTAGAGATGATATACATGGGAGAACTCTGTTAATTGTAAGGTCCTATTCCAATGCTAAGTATATTCTTGAAATAGATTACATATGCCCAAAAGGGAAGGACCTACCCAGAGGCAATCACTTTATTGCATATCCTTCCCAATTTTCAACTAGGTCAATGTGTGTTCTTTTCTTATGGCCAGATATTTAGACGGTGTCCAATTTTTTCATATAATAAGCCAAGCCAAATTTATAGACTGATTTCAGCGTAAGTGGCATCTTTATAACATTCAGTACTGCTTTACGGTCATCTTTGAACATCTATCCAATTACTTTAGTAAGTGAAATTCTTAGTAGCATCGGTAAGTCCAAGGATATGTACCTATTTAATTTTTGGATACATGTGCCAAATTGATCTCCAAAAAGATTTAATCACCAGAGTGCTCACTTCTTATTTCTAGACTAACACTGGATATTGTTATTCTTTTTCATATTGGCCAATTAATAACAGAATTGAAAGAACATTGCTCAGATTCACTGTAAAGGGAATAAATAACTGGGCTTTCAACTTACAGAGAGATTCCACCCTCTGTGGGCAATCTACCTCGTTCAATTATTCACCGGAATCAGGGGTGTAAATCAAAAGATATGGATTTTAAAGCCCCAAGTATGAGGAAGAGAATTTCCATTTTTGTTATGTTTCTATTTCCTCTGAGTCCCAGGGTATAACCTGAACTAAGTCTATATATGAACTAAAAAAGGAAATCAAAATGTTGACAAAAAAGAAACTGGTTTTGGTTCCTTGTTTAGCCCAAAAAGTATTCACAAAACATCAGCAGTCTGTCTGAAGTAGTGAGTTAAACTGAGTTTAACTTTGTATATATTTTAGATTAAAAAAACTATTAATTGTTGCAAGTATGATAACTGCTCTGTATTCAGGATGCAACATCATTTTTTTTAGATGCATAATGAAAAATACAACAGCGAGATGTCAAGATATCAGTAATGCACAATATAAATGCTAGAAATGAAACTGATTATTTAGGCTGCAGCAAGTATTTCCAACTCTTAGAAGTGATTTTTTATTTTACTTTTTTTTTTTATTGAAGTATAGTCAGTTACAATGCATCAGCTTCTGGTATACCGCCTAATGTCCCAGTCATGCATATATATACAGGGAACTATATTCAATACCTTGTAATAACCTTTAATGAAAAAGAATATGAAGTGATTTTTAATTCCTCTTCAGTTCCGACAGACTGCCCTACCTAGGAACTATTAGAACTGAACCAGGCTTGTCCTAGAAGGAATGAAAATGTCTCACTCCCTTGCTGTCTCTTACGAGTGGAATTTCTTGCTGCCTCTTTCATCTACTGTCCCTCTCCTCTGCTCTCTATAGTGTGTACAGCTACAGTATATCTATTTTTGGCCTATCATAGTTGTATTGAAATGATCACTTAGCATTTCTCTCACCTACTGAAACCATAGTTTCTCAAGACAAGTGCTCATGCCTAGGTCCAGGCAGATAGTAAACCCTCAAAACAATAATCATTACTGAACCAAATTATATTCACTTGCTGACTGCTATTCCTTATCCAGTCTCTCCTCCATCTCCTCATCTTCCACTCCCCACTCTCTACAATATCACCAGTTATCTTTCTAAGTCTTGGGTCTAATCATTATACTCTGCTACACTAATAAAGAAGAACATTTTGAGATGAATAAACATCTTGTAATTATCTTTTAAAGAAAAAGCCTTCTCTCCATCAAGAAACCAGCTCAAGAGATAGAGTATTGGCATGAAAGGCACTTGGTTCCAGTTCTGCAGAAGGTGAAATAAGTAGATTGTCTTAGAACAAACAGCTAGCTTTCACCTGACTCTTTGGTAGCACTTCTATGTGCTCAAGTCAAATAATAAACATCTAAGTTTCAGCATTTATTAAATGCTTAACTTGGTTGTTTTCTCTAGGATTTCCAATAAGATGGCTCTTATCTGTCAGTCTGTCAACCTGGAAATCAACAAGCTATTACTTTATGCTAAACATCTCTCAGCTTTTCTGCCTCTTCCAATCTTCTCCTAAAGTGGCATCCCCAAGTTCTAGACTTCATTAACAATAATCACAAGTAATTCTATTTCAAGATGAGATTCAAATTTGTAATAACTGCAAAACTACTTGTTCTGACTAATGTTAATAATAACCCATTTAATGTACCAGTGCAATTAAATGCCTTTATAAGTATCTACCATATTTTTAGCAATTTTTAAAAGCCATATAAAAGAAGTACTTGGTAAATTTGAATTTCCCCAACTACTTTTCATATTACCAAATATGAATGCTAGAACTAATGAAATAAAATGAAACATTTAAATTGATATCATTTTAATGATCTACTCATGCTTTAATCATAGTAACACAAGATGTTTCAAAAGCTAATCCCTGAATTTACAAAAAGCTGTGTCAAAGAAAAAAGAGGACACCAATGAACTTATCTACAAAAGAAACAGACTTGCAGACATAGTAAACAAGCTTATGGTTACTGGGGAAAAGGGGTGGGAAGGGATAAATCTGTGAGTTTGAGATTTGCAAATGTTAACCACTATATATAAAAATAGATAAATTTCTTCTGTATAGCACAGGAAACTATATTCAATATCCTGTAATAACCTTTAATGAAAAAGATATGAAAAAGAATATATGTATATATATATATGCACGACTGAGATATTATGCTGTACATCAGAAATGGACACATTGTAACTGACTATACTTCAATTAAATTTTTAAAAAGCTGTGTCTATGAGGATTAATAGAACTAAAAGTATGCTTCTGATTCACCTAATGATAAAATACTCATAAATAACATTTTGAATTTGCCTTAATTCCACATGTGAGATAGGTCTACACAGCAATATTTACATGTACAAACACAAAAAAATGCTCAAAATGACACTACCACTTCACACCCATTAGGATGGCTATCATCCAAAAAAACAGAAAATATCGAGTGTTAGCTAAGATGTGAAGAAATTGGAACGCTTGTGCTTTGCTAGTAAGAATGTAAAATGGTGCAATCACTGTGGAAGATAGTATGGTGTCACTCAAAAAATTGAACACAGAATTACTAAATGATCCAGCAATTCTACTTCTGAGTATATACCCAAAAGAACTGAAAGTAGGTGTGTGAACATGTAGTTGTACACCCATGTTCCTAGCAGCAGTAATAACAATAGCAAAAAGGTGAAAACAACCCAAAAGTCAATCAACAGGTAAATGGGTAAACAAAATGTAGTACATACATACTATTATATTATTCAGCCTTTAAATGAAATAAAATTCTAATACCTGCTGCAATACGGATAAACCTTGAAAACATTATGCTAAGTGAAAAAAGCCAGACACAAAAGGACAAATATTGTAATGATTACCCTTACATGAGGCACCTAGAATAGTCAAATTCACAGAGAAAGAAAGTAAGAGTGTTTGCCAGGGACTGAGGGGGGGGGGATGGGGGAATAGGGAGATATTGTTGCATGGAGTTTCAGTTTGGGAAGATGAAAGAGTCCAAGAGTTGGATGGTGGTGATGGTTAAGAATGTGAATGTATTTAATGCCAATGAAGTTCCCTACACTTAAAAATGGTTAAAATAAAATGGTAAATTTTATGTTATACATGTTTTATCACAATAAAAAAATATACTTTTTAAAGGAAAAAAAAACTTCGTTGGAAAGGATAAAATTCTCTTCTTTCAGAGTAGAATACATCAAATTTTAATGCTCTGAGAATTCCTAAATAAAGCCAGTGGTTTTGTCCAGTCCCTCTCCAACCAGCAAAATCCAAAGAAAGTTATACATCCACAAAATAGGAAAGAGATTTTTACCCTGATTAATTTCATTTTTCATACTACAAACATAACTCTAGGTAAGATATAAGAAGAAAAACAAATATTAAGCCAAAAGAACTATTAATCTCACTAATAAGTCAAAGGACTATATTAACCACAAAATTTAAATTCTATTATTATGAAGGCAGGATAATTCAAAATAGGTTTTATATTTGTGAGTTTAGATTTTAATATGTTAATTTTGAACAACATTATACTTTACCAAAGGATTGAAATGTTATTTTAATTATACTGACTCCTTTCAAAAATTGCAATTATTTGAAAAAACGCAATGATTCTTAAATGTATACATTGTTCTCACCGATTGACAAGGCTTGACAGCACAATCCCTTCTGCCACACTGGCTGATATCATTCCAGAAAGGACATGGCCTTTTCAAGTTTACCTGTAAATTAATAATAGAAATAAGAATCTTGAGATTACAATAGACAGATGTTGAATTATGACATTATAACATGGTCATGTTATCGGCTGCAGTTCTATTTCTTCCACTTGTCAAGTGTCAGTGATGGCACAAATGTGTAGCTCATACAAATAAATTGGTAGCCTTGGTTATAAAGACAAAGTCTGCTACGAAGCAGACCCTCAACAGATCCCAACAGATGGAAGCCAAAGTAGCTCATATCATCACTGCTCAACTCACAATCTTTTAACAGAAGTAATAGATGAGAGTTAGATAATTGTGAGGTCAGAATGCAACTACATACTCCAATGATCAGATTTTCTAAATTCTTTCAGGAGTTATCTCAAGAAAAGCTGTCACAAGTGACTTGTTAAAATAATACAGGTCAGAATAAAGTCATGCTTCTTCTCAAAAATATTTTTTTAATTAATTGGAGTAATTCTGATGTTTTAGAATGTTATGAACAACTCACAACTTTGATAACAATATAATAATTTCTGTTCCAAATTCAATTTAACCAACTAATTTCTAACTCTAGAGTTCAAATCTCAGTTATTGAAATTAAAAGAAAGCAATGGGTCATTTCAGAACCCCATGGTTCACTCCTGTCAAATGTATTTTCCTAATGGTGCCTTAGTCAATTTTAAATAATAAGCACAATTTTGAAGCTTAGTAATTCCTAAGGAAATGTAATTATCCATTTAAACTTTAAGTATTCCTATACAAAAAAAATTTTTTAAATACCTTGTAATATCTAAAGTAGTCGCTTTCCAGAAGTTTTTGAAGTCTTGGGAAAAGCCTGTAGTTATTAAATTTATCGATGGTTTCAACATCACAGGTACAATCATCCAAGTAACCACTAACCTGTTACAAAGAAAATGGAATATTGTATCAAAATGTCATAGATGCAACAGGGTTTTTTCCTCACATGGTTATGATGAAAGAACCCTCTACCCAACCAACATTTATCCTCCCTCCTCCCCATAGTTTTCTGAGCTAGGATATGACCACATCTTGTAATGCTATTGCCCTTACTATATACCTAGAGGAACCCAGTGGATACCTTTTGTACGGTGTACTGAACTCATAATGATAACCCCTCCTCAAAGAGTTGATTCCCCACAGCTACTCTGTCACCTTGCCCCTTAAGTCCAACCAGGGGTGGGCATCTGACCCAAACCAGGTCGTGGTGCCCTCTGCAGTAATCTGGAATTGAGACTAAGAAGGAGAGATGTCTCCCCCTGTTGCTAGACCAGTAAACATGTAAGCTCAGGCTATATTCCATCAAGTGAAGGGAGGAACACGTGACCCAGTTAGCAGAGGGAGGAAAGATTTTGAAAAACACACAGAGAAGCACAGATAAGAGACAGAGAACATATGCTAGCTGGATCCCCTGGGGTTTGCCTGCTCCCACTTCCCGCATCTTTCCTGAAGCCCAGTTGCACTCCCATCCTTGGCTTTCCTGAGACTCAATATTCTTATAATTCAGTTGTCTCTGTCTTTCCTTTATTTTAGTTTCCCACAGGACGTGTAGGTCAGAGACAAGCTCAGTGGACATATGAAAAGAAGTAATACTGAATTTATAAGAGAAACAATAATTCATTGTAAGGATCTAACAACCCTCAAATATTTTTATACATTTGAAATGGTGCTTAGAGATTACTTATCATTAGCAACACTGAGCAAATTAACCCCAAAGCCAATCCTGATCTTCAAATGCTTACAACTATGACTTAACTGTATTTACTAAATCAAACTATTAAGTCCTATTATAATCAGAAGCAATGGGAAATCATATTATAATCAGACAATATTATCAGTTGTGAAACTAAAATTCTTAGATGTTTACTGGGACTAGGCAAACACCTAACAGAACTAATTGAGCATTGCTTTAAGTAACAAATACATTGTGATTTTTTTTAGTTAACTAAAATTTTAATTTTTTTTAATATACAGCATGCTGCAGAAAAGAGACCCTTATCATACTTTGTTCTGAATATGTGCATTATAAACTACTTTGGATTATATTTTAGGGAGACTTATTGGCAACAAAAAATAATTTTAAAATCTACTAGTAAAGAAGCAAATAAAGAATACTTAATTTTTTTTAAGCAGGGTTTGCTTTTACTTTACTTTGGCCTTTGTTTTTTTCCATTTTTTAAACTGAAGTATAGTCAGTTTACAATGTTGTGTCAATTTCTGGTGTACAGCATGTTTCGGTCATATCTATCTATCTATCTATCTATCTATCTATCTATCTATATATATATATATATACACACACACATACATTCCTTTTCATATTCTTTTCCATGATAGGTTACTGCAAGATATTGAATATAGTTTCCTGTGCTATATGTGTTATTTATCACTTTATATATAGTACTTAGTATCTGTAAATCTCAAACTCCTAATTTATCCCGTCTCACCCCCCTTCCCCCCAGTAACCATAAGTTTGTATTCTATGTCTGTGAATCTGTTTCTGTTTTGTAAATAAGCTCATTTGTGTCTTTTTTTAGATTTCACATATAAGTGATATCATATGGTATTTTTCTTTCTCTTTCTGCTTTTCTTCACATAGAATGACAATCTCCAGGTCCATCCATGATGCTGCAAATGACATTATTTTATTCTTTTTTAAGGCTGAGTAGTACTCCATCATATATATATACCACAGCTTCTTTATCCAGTCACTTGTTGATGGGCATTTAGGCTGTTTCCATGTCTTAGCTGTTGTAAATAGTGCTGCTATGAACATTGGGGTGCATGTATCTTGAGAATACTTTATTGGAGGAGGGTATAGCTCAAGTGGTAGAGTGCATGCTTAGCATGCATGAGATGCTGGGTTCAATCCCCAGTACCTCCTTCAAGAATAAATAAATAAAACCTTAATTACCTCCCCCACCAAAAAAATATATATATTGAAATACTGAATTTAGGTGTCTTCCTTTTGGAATATACAAAATTCTACACTATCTTTTTAGAACATCACAAAACAGTAATGGAAATTTCTCACCTGAGAGATAAGAATACTTTGGATGATGACCGCAATATTTAAGGGCTACGTTGGGGTTTCTTTTTGTTTTTGTTTTTGTTTTTTGTTTTACCAATTTGCCTAATCCTATTTGTTTTGGACTAAAGAATTCAGTTTCTAGAAATATGATTTACATATTTTGTCACTGTTATAACTGCTTTCATTTCGTATGCAAATGTGTCCTTGTTTCCTGCTAAAAATTCTCTGAGTGTACAATAATCTTAGAGTCCTAATTTTGGGTACCAACAAAACAAAAGTGTTTCTACCCTAGATCACTTGATTTTTCACATCTATTTCTTTTGAGCCTTAGAAGCAAAACTTCTAAGAACATAAAATAAGCTAATGTTTCTATCCTTGGATACATATTATTATACAAAAAATTACAGGCACAAAAATGCAAAGGCCAAGGGGATACAAGCCAGACAGAGACATTAGACCACAAAAAGAGAAAACATGCAAAAAAAAAAAACTTAAGAGGAAGGGATTAAAGCAATCCATTTTTCCTCCTGAGGAGTTCATTTTCAAGGTAAAAATCTGTCTTCCAGACTTGTACTCCCAGTGCTGAGCACTGTATTTCTAAAAATAGTAGATACACACTGTCTACTTATAACTATGTACTTCCATGTCACCTACGGTGGTGCTCAGTGCCCCAGACACACAGTGGCAGGAATGCCCTTGCAGAGCAAGGAAAGCAAGCAACAAAGGCAAACAATCCTTGTGTCCAACATTCTGCTGACCCCCCCCCATATCCTAATTACAAAGGGAGCAATAAGAAGCCCCAGACCAGAAAGAAATGCAAGATTTCTTTCCAGAGCACAGATGGCTTATAACCTAGAGGCCTCGAAAGAAGAGAAGGCAGGACAATGCTGGATTTAACAATCTTCTGCCCCTTATCTTAGAAACTGAGTAGGACGTATTACCAACTACAATGCCAGGTTACAGGGCAGCTAAACTGGTAGGGGCTGGCAGGAGCTTCATTGGATGGAGACAGCCCAGCAAAGAAGGGGCAGGAAGATACTTGGAAATCCAAGCCATGGGACCATTCAGAGAAGCCTGCCAACAGGCAGCATAACCTGATCCCTGGAAGGAAGTCTGACAGGTATGATGCCAGGCCCAGTTCTAGAAATTAGAGAACCAGGCATGTTACCAGAATAGAGGCTCAGGAAAAGTCTAAGGCAGAAATCCAGTTAATTCACCCAAGGCAGAGCCTCTGAAACAAAGCAAAGTCTTATCTATGATCTAAATAAGGCCAAAAGAGGGCTGCCGATCTGTAAGGATGGCTTGATGCTGCCCTTCAGACTGTGCTACAGCTGTAGTGGTGCTAAAGCAACCACTACACTGTCTCCCAAAGCGAAACAGAACTTTGGCCCTACCATAGGAATCTGAATTTTTTAAAGTTGCACCCCCAAAATACACACAAAGCGAGTGATTCATGCTGAAGTCTGAAGCTCACTGCTCTAGGCGTCAGGTGATAATCAGCCTCCGGTAGGGGCCAACCTAATAGGTAGCCGGTGAAAAGGCCCTTGTTGAGGGAGGGTAGGTATAAGGACCAAGACAGGCCTAACACATAACATCACCCAGTTGAAAGTCTGGTATCTTAAGAGTTGGAAAGCTTTAGAAGGCCTTCTGTAGCTCTCTTCCAAGCAACACACCAATCCCTCCTCTACACCCTCAACGGGAGGCAGCGTGTAACAACAGTGAGCAGGCCGCAGGAGTCAGGCCTTCTAGGGTCGAATCTTATCAGTGCTACTTACTAGTTGCTGACATTCGCCAAGCTTTTTAACCTCTCTAGGCCTCAGTACAAAATAGAAATAATAATAGTTCTCATCTCAAAGAGCTGATATCAGGATAAAATGACATAAGCACCCAGTAAATGGTGATCATTATTATTATTCTACCACTGCTTAAATACTTCCAGTGAAAGGGATCTTACTACTCCCCAAAGCAATCTACCTTTTTTTTAAATGAATAAGAAAAAAAAAGTCCAACTTTGTCTTTAAAATTCTCCAAAAATGTTATATCTATCGCCCCAATAGAGCCAAAAGTTAGCTCTGAGGGAGCCTCAATTACTTTCTCCATGGACTCTGATTGGTTTGAACCAAATACCAAAATATAAAAGGCAAAAGGAAAGAAAATAACACTGACCTATTCTCTGGCTACTCTGGTTAAAGATACCCTTATTTTGCAATGAAACACAAAACAAAAACACTTTCTAAACAGTTTCCTTGTGTCCCAACAACTCCAGCCCTACCATAGATTATCATTTTTCCCCCAAAGCACTGTAAGACTATATTCCTCATACTCATGTGAAGTATCTTTTAAAAGTGCTCAAAATGTGCTTTATTTGGCAAAGAACTTTAGTTGCCCTTAATTTTATTGTGTTTTGGGACCATTAAAATAAAAAGAGAGAGAAACATTCATTCATTGACAAAGTAGCCTGGGACAACTCTGTTGAAGAAAGCAGAGAAACACAGAAGGCTCTCTGCTGGATAGTACTCGGTAGCAGGCACCATTCGAAGGGCATGGAATGCTAAGAGCTGTTTCTGCTTTAAAGTCTTGGTTTTGCTAGAACTTTAAATTGTTGTTAAATGACCCAAAGTATGGCAACCAATGTGAAACACCCTTTGGTCCCCATGCTTTATTCAGAAAAGCCTGGAGTACAGGAAGCATTGAGAGTCAAAGGACATCCCTCCAGTATAACCTGTTTCAAAGATGCCTCTAAGTTTTAAGCCTGGGCTTATTTCCACCCACCACCCAACAAATGATCAAGCTTTTCCTCCATGGCCCAGCCAACCTGACTAACAAAAACTCTTTTTTAAACTGACCTGAACAAGACACCCAGACAGGTAAGTCTGCTAAAATACTCGTATGCAGGGTGTATCCACAATGCACTCCAAACAAAAAATAATCTACTTCTGAAGTAGCCATTTTGGATTACCTGAACTACTCCCTTTTCATTAGCCTGATGGAGATTTACCACATTCAAATAAGTGGATCCGAGTGTTCATAGCACTGGCTGTATTAAGAGTGACAAAACATTGAGTATAGAAGCTAACAAACTCGTTTCAAATTAATTTAAATGAAAAAGATGTCCACACTGCCTCCACATCTGGGCTTCAGTATCTCTTCTGAGCTGATTTCTTTAAAATGAATCCTGGGATTCCATTAACTGGAACTAAGTTCTCTTACATTCATTCTCTCTAATGGTGCATAGTGAGGAAATCATTGTCAAAAAGAAATAAACTCTGAAAAATCTTCATTTACTTCAAGCCTATACTTACTACAATTTTGATTTAAAGATAGAGTGAGTCCTGATTTACGGGATTTTTTTTTCCACAAAAACTGTACATGTGTTAGACTTCATAGACTTGTATACCAACAGTAGGGGAAAAAAACAATTTTCTGTGTAAAAAAAACTTTTTTTTAACTTTTTTAATAGAATAATAGGAGAGCAGGTCTGGGAGGGGACGTTGTATGTAACGAAGATTTGTAAGTTCCAGATAACTGATCACTTATTTTGAGCAACTAAACTGAAGCATGTTATCAAAAAAACTTATGACATACAATGAAAATGGTTTTAACAGGATGTGATGCCAAATAGTAGGCAAATGCAGTAGCTAAGTTTAAAGATTTATTTACAGCTGTCAACCTATCTGAAAGATCAATTCCAGAAAAGCATGCAAATGGCTTACTAAGCAGAATAATTAAAAGAATACACAATGTTGTAAATCTATTACATGTCAATTTTTATTTTAATAAATTAAAATAAAGAATATACTCCAGGGAGTGCAGTGTTCACATCTTATATTATCATTTCCCTAATGCTTGCTAAGGACCACTTATGTACTAGGCTTTGTACTCTGGAGTGTCAAGAATTAGGACTACATTTTAATTTTTTACTTTATTTTTCGATCTCTCAAGTCATTCACAGTAGACTTCAATAAATGCCTGTTGAATTTTGTCTGATTATTTGTAGAGCTTTGTACATTCTACTTCAATGACTTTATAAAGTCAAATATCAAATCTGAACCCCTACTACAAGACAGGTACCCCTGCAACAGTGTGATAAGGGGTGATAGTGTGGTAACTCAGGACAGAAATGGTTAAGAGAAACAGAAAACAAGAAGGAAGGAAGGGACGTGACTATTAATAAAAAAGGAACAACAGGATTTTGTAACCAATTGCATACTGCAAAAAGAACCAGAGAAGATTTTAACTTGTATTTCCAAACATTACATGAAAATTTAGTTTTTAAGTTAGTTTCTAGCAATATTTATTAACTTAAAAAAAAAAAAAACCCAGGATCCTTGCCTCTCCCCAAGCCCCAAAGAACATTATTTATTAAACTGTAAGCTCTTCAGGGTAGGGATTATGGCATAGTTATTTCTCTATTCCAGACCCTCAGCTCAATGGACACAGTGCTTACCCATGTTAGTTGAATGAATAATTTGCACTCCCCTTATCTTTTTTCTCCATGTTTTTCCTTTTCTCTCTCTCCTGTCTTTGTGTGCATGTCTATGTGTTTGTCTCCATTTTTCCCTTCATGTCTATTGGGCATCGTATCCTCTCTCCTGTCCTCCCCCTAGCCCCATCCCCACCATTACTGACCTTAATAGAACTAAAGCATGCTTGTTTCACTTACTGAATTGGAATTGATGCTCTCTAAGTTTGCCTAAGTAAGCCATTTTAAATTTTCCTTAAAACTGTTTTTTACTCATTTTATTAGTTTTTTAAAGTTGGCTCTGAAAAGAAAAACAGTCACTCTTGTTCTAAAAGGAAAAGAGATTTCTCCTTCTTTCTGTATAAAAAACTTTTTTTTAAAAAAACATTTTTTAATAGAATGATAGGGGGACAGGTTGGGGCAGTATTTTAATGTTGAAAATACTGTGAAAGGGGAAAAAGTCTAATCATTAATCAGAAGAAAAAGTAAACAAATATAAAAAAACTAAAAGCTCCCCAATTTTAATCAGATATGTAAAAAGGTTACCCAGGAGAAAAAGTGAAAGTTTAAAAGTTCAGCATGTACTTTTATTCCATGTATGTAACACAATATGTGCAAAATATTTCAAAATACACCCAAATCTCTAAAATGTAGTTTAAAATGTTACATTGGGCATCTTTCTACACTGACTACTTTATTTTTAAATCCCCTTATTTCTAATATACTTATCTTTTTAATGTTTAAACTTTGTATTACATTATATTTGTAATCAGAAGTGAAATTACCCTTTTTCGTTTTAAATACTTGATTGTGTGCTGTTTGCAATCACTGAAAGTAAAGGAGCTTTTCAGTCTCTTAGTTATAAAGCAGCAGTTTCAACTTTTCTTACACATTCCCAGATTTCACTCACCCCAATCCCCAAATCACTCAACAAAAAATAAAGTTCAAGAATGTAAAGCGATGGAAGAGATGGTACTTCTTCTTCTCATATTTAAAATGCTTCTTTCCTCTCTGAAATAGTATCACTGCTCCTACAGACATAACACGTTATTTCTGATAATAAGTTAATAGTAAAACCACTTAAAAGGAACAATTTGAATACTCACCCCTCAGTTTTGCATAAAATGTAATTTTTATCAACAGAAACCAACCAAAAAGGTGACTTGAAGAATAACGATACTAAAAAAGAAAAAAGATAACGATACCAAAAAAAAAAAAGAATAATGATACTGTGGATACCAAAAACCTGTACGTTTCTTAGAATTTTTCGCTCAAGGAATTCACATCTCTTACTAACAGAAGGAAACAACCATAGGCTTGTAATCAAAGTTGCGCACTGAAGACCGTTCTCCTAATTCAGACCAGCAGTAGGGGTGTCACGGTAAGACAGTCCCACTACATTCAGGAAAAAGAAAGGACAGGCGAGGCGAGGAGTCACAGGGCAACCGCGGCCCAAAGACACCAGGCAGTTGGCCTTAGACCCAGAAAAACCCCACGAAACCACTTATCTGCCTGAGAATGAGATCTGAAGGCAGCCCCCCGGCAAAACCTGTCCTGGCCAGAAAGGCTGGAGAAGGCACCCAGCACAGGCACAGCGTCCACGGTTTCAAGTCAAGTTAGAAGTTAGGAAGATCTATGTTCTGCGAAAATTACAAATACTGAGTGTGCGTGGTCACCCTTCCCGGGCAGGGAATACTAACAAAAATGGATATACCAACTCGGTAGGAGCAGACAGCGGTGCACGCACACCCCTCGCCCGACGCATAATCGGAAGCACGGGAGGGCGCGCCGACCTCGGTTCAGGTTGCGGTGGGGGACCCGCGCACACCAACCTAGGCGAGCAGCAGAGACTCAGCCCGGCGAGGGAGCAGAAGCAGAGGGGGCTCCTTCCGGAAGGGTGGAGACTGCAAAGACGCAACCGAAGCCCCCCACCTGCCGGGGCGCGTACAACGGAGCGCACGGGGGAGGCGAAGGTCCCGGGACCCGAAGCCCCGCCGCGCACACCTCTCACCTGGCAGAAGCACCTCTGCGCCGCCGTCTCCGGGGGCTGCTGCCCGCCGTGGCCCGAGCCCAGCAGCCCCACGGCACCCAGGAAGCCG